AGGCAGTATTACTACGGAAGTAGATTACCCCATCATCCTTCCAAGGAGTGGCTGGTGGGTTTGAACCATCAGCCTTCTGATTAGCAGTCAAGCGCCTTAGGCACTACGCTACCAGAGTTCCCTGGGCAATGACTAAGGAAGACCAAAAAAGAATTGATACATTTGAATTGTGGTATTGGAGAAGAATCTTTAATATACATGACTTCCAGAAGAATGAACAAATCTGTCTTGGAAAAAAATATAGCCAGAATGCTCCTTGAAAGCCAGGATGACGAGACTTTGTCTCATACTTTGTACATGGTATCAGGAGGGACCACTCCCTGGAGCAGGACATCAGGCTTGGTAAAGTAGAGGGTCAGCAAAGAAGAGGAAGATCCTCAACATGATGAATGACATGATATCTGAAAAATGTACTCACACATATCCTACTGTGAGGATGGCTCAGAACTGGGCAACATTTCACCCCTTGTACGCAGGATTGCTATGGGTTGGGACTGCCTCAAGGGCACCAAACAAAACAATGACAACAACATATTTTATTCTATAAAGTGTCTGCTCAAACCATCTTTTTCCATTGGGGGACATTTGCCTTATTATTAATATAGAAAAAATTGCTATAATTTGAGGAAAGAAGTCTTTTTACAAATATAGACTTGAAAAAATTATACTTATCAATACAGATAAACATATTTTTCCCAAATATTGTCATTTTTATTTTTTTGCCCTAAACTTGGAGCTGGGAGTGTGAGGAAGTCTTAGGGCACAAACTGATGGGCCCTAGCCGAGTTTACTCTATGGATCATTTATTTGGCCAATATGGTGCTTAATTCTTTTCCTTTAGAGTTGAAGGCTTTTAGGTATGGAATACGTACTCTGCAGTTTGTCACAGTCCCGACTAATCCCCATTACAAAATACACAACACCTTCAGTTATGCATGCTACTTATGCTGGTTGCCCATTCTTGGTTGAGATCATGATCCTGATTACACCTCCATAGTTTTAAGTGAGGTAGGGAGAGGTGGTGTGTTCTTATCAGGACTCAAATAAGGTGATAATTTTTTTTTTTTTTTGATGGGGGGCATTGTTTACGTTTTTATTTCTTTTCTTCTGAGAAACTCCAAGGAAGAACAAAATGAGGGCCCAGGAAAAACATCTAGCAGAGTGCTTAGTGCATTAAAAAAAAAATTGTTTTAGAGCCACTTTTGACTCATAGTTGTTTCTGTCTTATGTCTATTTTATCAGAAATTAAAATTGCCACTCCTGCTCTTTTTTGATTGTCATTTGCTCTATATATCTTTTTCCAACCTTTCATTTTTAGTCTTTTTCATCTTTGTGTCTAAGGTGAATCTCTTTTAGACAGAATATTGATGGGCCGTGTTTTCTTATCTAGTCTGCAACTCTCTGTCTCTCAAGTGGTGCATTTAATCCATTTACATTCAGTGTAATTATTGACAAGTATGAATTTGTTGCTGTCATTTTGATATGTGTTTTTTCGTGATGTTGCTCATTTCTTTGTTCCATATAATTTTGTGTGCTGAGCTCATTTTGTTTATGAATCATGTTATCATTTCCTTCATTGCTATTGTTTTAGTATTTGCTAAATATTTGTGCCTCTCCTCTTTTTTATTCTCATGTGAAGTTTTATCATTTTTCTTAGAGGTTACCCTGTGATTCATAATTTTCTTCCTAAGTTTAGAACAGTCTGTTCTGTCTCATGATTGTTTTGACTTCCTCATTTTGAAATTCTTTACCTACACTATTTATTCCTTTTTTTTTTTTTTTGGTTTGTAGTTGTTCTTATTTCCCAATTGATGCCACTGGTTCCTGTTTATAATCTTGTAAGATTATTTTACTTTGGATATTTCTATAACTGTATTGGTTTCTGAGTTATGTCCTCATGTGTGTTAATCATTAGTTGTTGTCTGGTGCTGTTCATTCTCTGTCCAAAGGATTCTCTTTAGCATCTCTTATAAGATTGGTCTGCTTTGGATCAATTCCTTTAATTTATGTTTATCTGGAAATGTCCTAATTTCTCCATCAGATTTGAGGGACACTTTTACTGGGTATATGATTCTTGGTTGGCAATTTTATTCTTTCAGGGTTTTAGCTATACTGTCCTATTGCCCTCTTGCTTGCATGGTTTCTGCAGAGAAATCAGAACTTAGTCTTATTGGTTGCCCTTTGTAGGTACCTTTTCATTTTTCCTGTGCTGCTTTCAGGATTCTTTCTCTGTCTTTGATTTTGGTGAGCTCTTAGAGATTTTCTTTTGGGGTCTATGGTGTTTGGGGTTCATTGAATTTCTTGAATGGATATCTTCTCATCTTTCATTATATTAGGAAAATTCACTTCCAAAAAATCTATGACAGTTTTCTCTGTGGTTTTATTTCTCTTTTTCTGTTATGGAATTCTGATATCCATAAGTTATTCCACTTGCTTTTATCCCACATGAGTCTTAGGCTTTCTTTATTTTGTTTTGTTTTGATCTTTTTTTTTTTTTTCTGATTGATATCTTAACAAAGTGGCATTGAGGTATTTGTCTTCAGTCTCACTAACTCTGTCTTCCATTGATTTGATTCTACTCTGTTGCCCTTTCAATGTGTTATGAATTTTTGAAATTTTAATATTCATCTTCTGGATTTCTGTTTGTCATTTTTGTATCATGTCTGTTTTTTCAATTATTTTTGTCAGTTTGTGCTTGTATTGTTTTCCTACAAGCTACAAGTTCTAGTGTTTTGTCTGTGTTTTCCTTAATTTTGTCAGTGTTTTCCTTGACCTGTCTCTAAGTCCACAGAAGGTACCTCAATATAATTCTTCTGAATTCCTTATCAGGCAGTTCCAATACTGCTTCTTCCTCAAGGATATTTTCTGGGTCTGTATCCTGGTCTCTTGTTTGTACTACTTTATCATGCTTCTTTCTGTGGACTGGCAACATCAGTTGCCTCCAAGATATTGTGATATTATTATATTTATATTTAATTGGTGATTGTAGTTGTGATTTGACCAAGATTTTTTCATTTACTTTGTTTTGATATATGTGTGTGACCAGGGCTATTTTGCTCCTATTCACTAGTTGGCAGCACTTAGGCACTTATCACCTGTCTCTTGGTGGGTGTAATAGAGAATGAGAGTGTGTGCACAGATCTCTGTTAGCTGTTCATGAAGAGCAGTTGTGGATGAATTGGGCTGGTGCTGGCCACTGTCTGTCACTGATAAGTTGGTACAGAAACAAGTGGTGATCCTCACTTAGTGTGTTGGGCTGCAGGAGGTGCTGGTATGGTTTGGTCATGTAGGCACAGTTGCTGTCTCCCAGTCAGTTAGACAAAAGAAAACTTAAAAAAAAATAAAAATTAAAAAAGAGAAGAAAAACACAAACCACATAAACAAATAGGAACAATCACACACAAAAAAAAGGCAATAAATGAGAAGAAAATTTGAAAAATATTTTAAAAAGGGGAAAAATAAAGAGAAAAACAACCAACAAAAGCAAACCAAGAACCAGGTAAATGAAAGAGAAAATAAATGAATAAATAAATAGGAATGAAAAAGAATAATTTAAAAGTAGATCCAAAAAGAAAAAGAAAAAAAAATGGGGAGGGGGGGCCGTGATGGACAGGGCAGGCTCTGTCTGGGCACACAGCCCAGGATGGAATTCCTGCTGGTCCAGAAGGTGAATGGAGGTGGGTAATGTCCCCACCTCCATTCACTAGGAGGATGTGGGGTACAAAAGTAACAAGGGGGGTATCACAGCTTTCTAGAGGCAGCCTCCACTGTGGTTGCTAGTGTTGTCCTCTGCAAGTGAAGCCTATTGTTCGGTTGTTGCTTGGATCCAAATGCCACTTGCAAATATTCCAAATGTCTGTGACCTCAGGATAGTCAACAGTCCACAGCTCAGTTTGTCTCCTTCTTCATTGTTTTCCTTTCTGTTTGTCAGCTACTAGTGCAGTTGCCCATGCAGTCATTGGTGAACAAAGCCAATTCTTAGGTTGCTGCCTAGATCAGAACACCACTTACAAATACTCAAATTGGCTATGCCATCAAGACAGCTAGCAGTCCACAGCTCCATTTTTCTCCTTATTTGCTCCTTTCATTCAGGTTCTATTACTAGTTGATATTTAATCCACTTCTTATCCTTCCTATCAAAACTCAGGCTTCCAGAATTACCTTTTGTATCTGTTTCAATCACTTTCTTGTTTCTTTATTGCAGAGGGTCTGTGTAGCTTGTCTTCCTATTCTGTCATCTTGCTGGAAGTCCAAGTCAAGATGATTTTAAGCAAAAAAAAAAAAATGTATTACAGGACCTCCAGTCACTGGAAGGCTCAGGGATCACACACTGAGATCTTTCCACTAGGTGGTATAGTGACTAAGACAGCAATGACTCCACAGTACAGAGCCACTGGGGCAGGGTCATAAGCAAGATCCATACCTGATAAACACCAGTGCTAGACAGGAACCTTGTCACAAGGAAATCAGCACTCGTGGAAGAGACAAGCTATCACTTGATGCACTTAGAATTCACAGTAGGGTGGGACCACAGCTGTATGAGCAAGGGTTGCACTCCTGGAGGAAGAGAATGGAAGACTCAGGGAGGTTGTAATCAACTGATTGGAACTGTTTGTTGCAGGGAAAGTGTTGGGCAGAGACCAAGTGCCAATGTGGGCAGTGGGGTACAGGTGGCCACAGGGTGTACTTTTCATTGAAGCTTGGGGATGTGAGAAGAGGGGACAAGGAAGGAAAAACTGGATCAAGAAAGGCCTAGGGGTAGTTTTAGGGCACATGGACCTATGAAGAACCACCCCTACAGAGCAGTTTTCACCAGGATCTGCTCTATGGTCCTGTTTTCTGGCACTGAGTCAGCACTGAGGCACCAGCTACAGGTCCAAGGAAACCTGGCAAAGCTGAACCCATGACCAATGTCTACACCAAGGTCCTTTTAAACCCAGTGTCCACTAGCAGGGGCCAGGGATGGAATGGAAGGATTGGGACATGCTTGCCCTGTTAGTTCACCTACAGCAGAAGGTCAGGAGCTTGCCCAAAGCTCGCTGGAACTCTGCATTCCGCAGAGTGTAGATCAAAGGGTTCAGCGTGGGGCTAAGGGCTGTATACAGCACCCCAGACACTTTGCTCCTCTGGGGATTGTAGCTGGAGGCGGGGCTGATGTAGGCGCAGAACACAGCGGTGTAGTATACTGACACCACGATGAGGTGGGAGGAGCACGTGGAGAAGGCGCGGCGCTTCCCTTCCGCTGACCGGATGCACAGGATGCTCACCACGATGTAGCCATAGGAGGCCAGCGTGAGTAGGAAGTTGGTGAAGCCATAGAACCCATCGGCCAGGACTGTCATGATGCTGTTCAGTCGTGTGGGGCTGCAGGAGAGCAGCAGCAGTGGGGGGATCTCGCAGAAGAAGTGAGTGATGACATGGGGCCCACAAAAGGTCAGCCGTGCAGTCAGACTTGTGTTGACTGAGGCATTCAGGGCGCAGATTCCCCACACACCTCCAGCCAGTGCCATGCACACCCACCGACTCATGATGGTGTTGTAGTGCAGCGGGCGGCAGATGGCCATGTAGCGGTCGAAGGCCATGACTGAGAGCAGCAGCAGCTCAGAGGATGCAGCCCAGACTAGGAAGAAGAGCTGGGCCATGCAGCCGGCATAGGAGATGGTGTGTTCTTGAGCAGCCAGACCCACCAGCACCTTGGGCAGGATCGTGGAGGTGCAGATAATGTCCATGGTGGCCAGGTTGGACAGGAAGAAGTACATGGGGCTATGAAGGCCTGGGCTGAAGCCCACAACGGTGATAATCACGGTGTTACCTGTGAGAGCCACGACATAGAGCACCAGGAAGCAGCCCAGCAGCGGCAGCCGCAGGGAGGGGTGTTCTGAGAACCCCTGCAGCATGAACTCCATCACCAGTGTCTGGTTGGACTTCACTGTTTCTCCAGGCTCCATGGCAAAGGAGGGCTGACTGTCACTCCAGAAAACCTGCAGGTTTCAACAAGAGGTTCCAGGACACTCACTTCAGACCATGGGTTCATGGGTGACCAGAAAGGGAAGGGGTGACTTCTTTTCCCAATGAGAGCCTGCTTATCTTCTCACCTCCACCTGACATGCCTCTGCAACCACAGCTCATCCTCTGCTTTTACTTTTCCTTCCATTTTCCATTGTGAGAAACCTTAGTTCTCTAGATGTGTATCTAGGTTGCTGGTACTCCCCAGACTCACACACAGATAGGTAAGCCCAGTAGAGCTTCCTGCTGTTCTCCTACAACCTGCAGTGGAAGCAGGACTGCCCTGCCCTGTGGCACCTCCAACTCCTGTGCCCATTCTTTCTCTGGGCTGCTCACTCTGAGGTGGCCTTTAGCAGTGGCTTCTCAGTCATTGTTGGGTAGAAGGTTTCCTTTCATCACCCTTTCAGTGTGCATGGCTTCTTTTCTATCCCCGTGGTCACTGTGGTCCACCACTCCTGTCCTATAGCTGAAGCTCCCCAAGTTTGACATTTCTCAAATCCATCCTTCCTGGAGATCTTACTATGGAACCCCAGACCTGGGATCATCTTTTGCTTTCTGCCTTGAGGAACTAGAGGCCCTCTGAATTATTGTACTCAAATCTGAACTCAGCATCATCCCCAAACTGTTCCTGGCATGTTTTTTCCTCAGTGCATGCTGTCATACTCACTTAGAAACCCAACCAGCCCAAGTCCTTGGATGGAGGCTCTGTGGGGCAGGGCATTGCCTCTCTGACTCATTGCCACATTGAAAAGTCCTAACCACAGTAGGCACTGAAAAAATATGTTTGTTCAATGAGCACATGGTAATCTGTTACCTTGTGGTTCTCTCTACCCAATTGGTCACCAAGGGTTACAGGTAAAACCTATAAACATTGATTGTAAAGATTCCTATCCCTTACACTCCCTGCTTTTTATTTACTTCACGCTTATTGTCACCTCCTGCATGTGCAGTTTCTCAGTCCAACCCCTTCCTATGTCCTCCACTGAGACCAAGGTGGGGCCCAGAAACAAATTTGGACACTGGTATTTCCCTCCTTAAAACTGACTTGTGTCTCCCCAGAAGTAATGAAGTGCATATCTAAGGACTTCTGTTTCTTTGGCTTTTTACTGGAGCTTACTGCCATGCCAGTATAGATGTGGGGTTGCTAAAATCATGCAAAAGTTTGAAGTTATATAGGGATTTTAGGGAATTCAGATTTTCTGGACAATGAAGTTGGAAATGTAGAATATAGGGATCTATAGAGTGGAGGATCCTTCAATCTGCATAAAAAGAGTGTCTGGACCCCGGGAATGGTGTGTGTTTGTGTGTTTATGGGTGTGAATGGGTGTGCCAGACAGTGCATGTGTGTGCAAATGTGTGTGTTTGTGAGTGACTTGTAGAAAGTAATTGAAAACAGCATACGGAAAGCTGAAAGAACTGCATAGAGATGTCAATTGTAGCCCACCACAGGGAGGTAAGGGTTTAGAGTTTCACTTCAGCCAAGTTAAACACCTTGTAGAAAAAAAACAACACTATTGATAGGCAGATTTTCTACAATGTATAATGTAAAACGTCTAGAATGCAATGAAAAACTACTGGATATGTAAATAAACAAGGAAATGCAGCCCATGTATAAGTAAATAAAATGTGCTCAGTATAAACTAACTTCAAGATTTTGGAATTAGCAGATTAAGATCTTTAAAACAGCTTTTGCAAATATATCCAAGGACTAAATGGAAATAAGCCAGTGATACATGAACAGATAAGTGAGCAAGGGGAATAAAAGAAACTGTACAGAAGAATCAAATAGAAGTCCTAGAAATTAAAAGTATAATATCTCAAATAAACTACTCACCATATGTGTATAAAAGCAGATTGAGGATGAAGTCAGTTCTCTGACTTCATAGCTAGAAAAATAAGAATTATCCAATCTGAAGATGAGAGAGAAAGGAATGGCACAAAAAGCAGGAACAAAATCTCTGTGACATATGGGACAATCTAAGCCCTAAGGCACATGACTGCTAACCAGAAGGCTGGAGGTTCAAACCCACCAGCCACTCCTTGGAAGGAAGGTTGGGCAATCTACTTCCGTAGTGATACTGCCACGGAAACCCAAGGAGGGGTCGCTATGAGTCGGGGTCGCTATGAGTCGGGTCTGACTCGACGACACATAACAACAATAACAAGCAGCCTAATGCACCTCTAGCTGGAGTCAAGAAATATAGGACAGAAAAAGGAATTTGAAAAAAAAAAAAAAAAAGTGACACCAGAAACAGAAACTCAGTAAACCTAAAAAAGGGTGAATATAAAGAAAAACACACTTTAGCACAACCTAATCAAACTGCTGAAAACTAAAGACAAAGAGCAAATGTCCAGAGGGGAAACTATGGTTCATTACATACAGGGGAACAATGATGGGAGACAGGTGACTTAGCATCAGAAAAAAAGAAGTCCAGGAAACAACAGAAGGGCATTTTCATAGTGATGAAAGAAAAAAAGAATCCTAAATTCTACATCTAATGAAAAAATCCTTCAAAAATGAAGATGAAATAAATTCATTTACAGAGAATTCATTGCCAGTAAACCTGTTTTTTAAGAAATGCTAAAGGGAGGTCCTTGGGTGAAGGGTAGTACAGTAGGGGGGAGAAAAATACACTAGAAAGAATTAAGAATGTCAGAAATGGTGGTGAGTCGCTGAGCCTGTAGACTGGGGACCATGATCACAGGGGACATTAAACTCAACTGGCACAACATAGTATTCAAAAATATTATTTTACATCTTACTTCAGTGAGTAGTGACTGGAGTCTTAAAAGCTTGTGAGTGGCCATCTAAGATGCATCTATTGATCTCTCCTCATCTGGAGAAAAGAAGAGTGAAGAAAATCAAACATGCATGAAACAGTTAGTCCAAAGGACCAATGGACCATGAAACCTCAGCCTATATGACCCTGAGACCAGAAGAACTAGATGGTGCCCAGCTACTAATGCCAATCACTCAGAAAGAGATCAAAATTGGAGATCCTAGATAGAATGGGAGAAAAAAATGTGGAACAACAAAAAATAAAATAACTAGGTTTACTGGTCAGATAGAGACAGGTGGAACCCTTGAGACTATGGTCCCAAGTCATTCTTTAGGCCTGGAATTGAACTCACTCCCATGGCTTAACTTCCAGCAAAATAATAGGTCTACTTCTAGAACATCTATACTAGGGAGATGCGCTCCTTAGAACAATCAACCATGAGAGTTCAGAAGGACAGCATTTATACAGAGAGGAAGTTAGGGAGGTAGGCATGCATAGGCAGGAAAGACAGAGAAAGGGTAACTACAGGGAGGAAGTAGGGGAAGAGTCGTTACACTGCTGGCAATGTAGAGTGTTACAGAACAAAATGTGCATGAACTGCTGGATGTAAAACTTACCTGGTTTATAAAATGTCACACAGATCATAATAAAGAGTTTAAAAAAAATTCCAGAAATAGGAACTTAGTATTTAAATACAAATATTCTTATTTCTTAATTTTAAAAGGCATATGGCAGTTTAGAGCACTTAGTATATAGTAGAGTGTATAATAAAATGTATTTAGTTTTAATGCGTATGACAGCTGTAGAACAAAGTATATAAATGAACAGTAGTAAAATATTGATAGTTTACGTGAAATGGTATAACATTAACTCTATGTATATGGATCTTGGCTCAAGGCAAAGAATACCAGAAAGATGTTTACTTGTGTTTTATTGACTATGCAAAGGCATTTGATTGTGTGGATCATGACAAATTATGG